AGGGAAACGTTAGGCAGTACGGTGAAGTGAGGGAAACGTTAGGCTGTACGGTAAAGTGAGGGAAATGTTAGGCAGTACGGTGAAGTGAGGGAAACGTTAGGCAGTACGGTGAAGTAAGGGAAGCGTTAGGCAGTACGGTGAAATGAGGGAACGTTAGGCAGTACGGTAAAGTGAGGGGAACGTTAGGCTGTACGATAAAGTGAGGAGAGCGTTGGGCAGTACGGTGAAGTGATGATGAATTGACCTAGTTAGACCTATCGGATTGAGACCACGTTGGGAGAGCAATGAATAAAGCAGGATTCCCAATTGTGATTGCTTGGGTTTTTTAATTTCTAGCCTAGGACTAAAGTCCCAGGCTAGAGCTGGTACAGATGACATTAGTTGTTATGCAAAAGCTTGATGCTGCACGATAAAGATCTAGCAGGTACATCCCGTGATTTCTAGGTTTGATGCACTACCGGGCAAGTTGGTACAATTTGAGATTGGTAGGTTTGATGCATTACCGGGCAAGTTGGTACAACATATGATTGGTAGTTTCGAGGCATTATTGGGGAGTTGGTACAACCTGTGATTGGTAGGTTTGATGCAGTTTGAGGGAAATCGGTACAACCAGTGGCGTCTTGTCTGATGCACTACCGCGACAGCTGGTACAACTATAGTGATTGATGGCTTTAATGCACTGCCGCGGAAGTTTGTACAACCAGTGACCGAGTGTACTGGTTTAGGGTGGAAGGCGTTACCGTGCCAGAGGAGCAGCTGTGAAGCAGAACACAAACACCCGATGATGGTGGCGTGCATGGACCACGTGACAGCTCTGGGCGCCTGCCCCGACACAGCGCCGCCCCTCTACATGTGCCTTAAGTGCAAGGAACAACTCGAGAAAAACCAGAGCAACGTTGAGCTCCAAGACGTCCTCAAGCCAATGACCAACATCGCGACGTCGTGTGAGAACAAGGTGAGTGTATTACGTCGTGGGAGAACAATGTGATTACATCTATGCGTTGTGTGAGAACAAGGTCATTACATTACGTCGTGTGAGAACATGGTGATAGTATTACGTCGTGTGAGAACAAGGTGAGTGTATTACTTCTTGTGGGAACAAGGTATTGTATTACGTCGTGTGAGAACAAGGTGAGTGTAATACGTCGTGTGAGAACAAGGTGAGTGTATTACGTCGTGTGAGAATAAGGTGAAGAAATTACTTCTTGTGGGAACAAGGTGACTACTTTACTTCTTGTGGGAACAAGGTGAGTGTTTTACGTCGTGTGAGAACAAGGTGATTACAGCTATTCGTTGTGTGAAAAGAAGGTGATTACATCTACGTCGTGTTAAATCAAGGTGATTGCATTACGTCGTGTGAGAACAAAGTGATTACATTACTTCTTGTGGGAACAAGGTGACTACATTAAGTCTTATATGAGAATAAGGTGATTACATTGCGTCGTGTGGGAACAAGGTGATTACATTACGTCGTGTGAGAACAAGGTGAGTGTATTACTTCTTGTGGGAACAAGGTGATTACTTTTTCACGTCGACGTGTTAAGATCTCCGGGGTAAGCTGCTCAGTCGATCGTTCAATTTAAATTCAGCTATTTGTGATTAAATATTTCAAAGTGCAACCGTCGGAACTACATCATGGCTTGCTCTCGATATTTTTTTAATATTGTTTTCTGCTATTTTATGCCAGTGTTATGCTTAGTCAACCTTCTGAATCGAAGTCAGATAGCTATTCAACCTCATAATATCTGAATAACCATTTGTATTCATTATTTCTTTAAACATTAATATTCCATTATTTTCATGTCATGTTTGTATTCTAATGACCCACCGCCCGCAGGTGTTGGTCGTGCCGTCATTCTTCATCCCATCAATAAACATACTAAACCTTCATATTCTTACTCAAGCCGAATTAATGCATATTTACTACAAATAATAGGAAGAGGAACGGTTGTTATCACATCTAAATCTCCATAAATAAACAGCCCTCCTTGTCCAAAGATATTCCTCATCCAATGCTAACGCAATTATCTCCCTCTGCAGCATACCATTGATGATGTACCTCATCCAACACTAACGCCATCATTTCCCTCTGCAGCATACCATTGATGATGTACCTCATCCAATGCTAACGCCATCATTTCCCTCTGCAGCATACCATTGATGATGTGTAGTGACTCGATCATAACTCGCACTATCATTTCTTGTGAATGTCGTAATTATTTTTATTAACTCTTCAAACTCGGTAATCACCAATTTCTATAGCTATTCGCAACTTAATTACCTAGAAACTTGCCAATTACTTCCTATGTCATCAATTTAACTTTTGAATAATCATGCAAACATTCTGTCAAGAGATATTCTCAATTTTCTAGCACTAATAACATTCGTATGATTTTTTTGTTATAATATAGTTATATACGACAAAAATACTTTTATATTTAATTCGATCACTGGAAAGTTGTGATTTTCGTTTAGAACGTGCTAGCGGACAGAGCTAGAACCATACGGTAGAATCACTTTGCTTTTTCACGTCGACGTGTTAAGATCTCCGGGGTAAGCTGCTCAGTCGATCGTTCAATTTAAATTCAGCTATTTGTGATAATCGAGTGCCTGATGTCTGTCAAGTGTCACGTCATCCAGGATTTGTTTTGCGTCATCGCCCACGGCACTCCAGGCTCCAGGATACCTGCAGCCAACCTCCTATTTTATTACTGGCCTAACCTCAATCCTAAGCTTTTCGATCGCAAGGGAATGCCGATCAAGCTCAGCGGTAAGTCTAGCTGTCTTATTTTGCAGGCTTTATTTATCTCAACTTTAATACCAAAGTGACAGGAAAAAAGTTCATCCATGCACACAGCTCAACAACATGATAATATTCCATATTTGATATTTGAACTCCACTAACATCATTTTTCATCTCTTTGCGAGGTGGACAATAATGCATTTCCCCAACTGAATAAAAAAGATCAATTGTTATCAGATACAATGTAGTGTTCAATCAAATGGCAATTGTCAGCCATGTTACAAAATCATTTTCGGACTTCATCTCCTTAAATGGCTACAGAATATTTTTGGTCTTTGTTTTTCTAAGCTGGGAAAATATTGACAAGGAAATAGTTCGATTTCAAAGATTTTATGCCTCCTTCGATTTATTTGCTTTTGGATCTAATTTCAAATTGAATAGTTATCATAGCGTTAAAATACATCCAACATGAACATTGGACATAATACGAATATTCGTGTAATGTACTTACTGAGAAATGTTAAGATCTGTTGTATGTGAGTGTTTTCGGTGTTTGAGTGTTGCAATTTGTTGCATTGACGTGACAGCTTTTGATGGCTCACTGTTGGCTCCACCGAGAGAACCTTGCTGCTTCCCACACGAGTCTTGGGTTGCAGTTCCACAAAGCTTGTGTTATATACAAGAAATAATTTGCTTCTATTTGTTGTGATGAAACTTTCTTGAGGGCGTATCATGAGTTCGATTAATGAAAGTAACGAAAACCGAAACCTTTAGATTGTCCATAAAATCCGCAGTTTTAAAGTAAACATACCATACCGATTATCCTAATTTTTTAATAATATTTAGAGTGATAAATGTAGTCACGAAGCCAATAAATATTTCTGTTTGATGCGTCGGTTGTCCGTGACAAATCTCATAAAAGATTCTCGACAGCCTTAAATTTTCGTCGGACATTAACCAAAAATCGTGCAGAAAATATTATCTGAAAACCCTGAAAAATCCTTCCTCAAGATAGAAAATAATATTACGATTAATGAGATAGATTTGCCTTTTTGCTGGAAATCTGATGCCGATTTTCAAATAACCAGTCAATTTTCACCAGTCTTGAGTCTGGGTGCTAGTTTTGCTGCCAAGAATCTTGTGTTTAATTGCAGGGATAAACTTTTTATCGATGAAAAACTGACGTCTGCCGTGGCAAGCTTTTAATACAAGAACAAGAACAAGAGCCTTACAATAATTACATACAACAATCCTTGTCGCGAAATCTTAAATAATCACTGCGTTACTGAATGCAACGCAAACAAAGGAACTATGAAAATCTATGTATATATAGATTTGAAGCTCCGAAAATAACATTCTGTTGGTCCTATACACTTCGTACATCCCAAAAGATCATTTTACACATCAGATTCATACGATTTAGATGAATGAATTTAGGTAAGGGAAATTTTAAATTCATCTTACTTGCACTAACTGAACCTGAGAATAAAAATTGCGCTAACTGAAAAAGGAACAAAAGTCTGTGAATACGAAAAATGCTGTGAAAGTAATTTTATAGCTTTTTAAATTAAAATGTGCATATAAATATTTGATTGGTTATTTGCTATTCAATTGTTTTTAATTAAAAAACTAAAGCTCTGATGAAATTATCACAATTTCCAAGGTCTCAAATGACAACACGGGACGCCTGAGTTGATTTCCTTAGAATTTCTATCCCTGTTATTAGATGAGACTCGGTTTTGTTCATTGCGAGTTTGAGAGCGAGAGAGAGAGAGAGAGAGAGAGTCTTAGAACTCTTTAATAGGTCGAACTGTTTTCAAACTGTTCTCAAGATCGAACTGTTCTCGAACTCTTCTCTAGATCGAACTGTTCTCTAGGTTGAACTGTTCTCGAACTGTTCTCCAGATCGAACTGTTCTCTAGATCAAACTGTTCTCGAACTCTTCTCTAGGATCGAACTGTTCTCGAACTCTTCTCTAGATCGAACTGTTCTCTAGGTTGAACTGTTCTCGAACTGTTCTCCAGATCGAACTGTTCTCGAACTCTTTTCCAGATCGAACTGTTCTCTAGATCAAACTGTTCTCGAACTCTTCTCTAGGTCGAACTGTTCTCGAACTGTTCTCCAGATCGAACTGTTCTCTCTGAGCTTGACGACCTCAAGTGTGCAGCCTCAACTGTAAATTTCTTCACTCCTGAGCCCATGACACCATATTGCTCTAAATTCAATGTGATCTTCAATGATTAAATGATGTTTTGACATGTGAATGTTTCAATGGAGTAAATCTTCTAGATTTCTGTACTTCATTTTTATTATCGTTATGAATCTGTTAGCCTTCCAAATGCCCATTGAGAAGCAAAGGAGGACTGTATTACTGATGATGTTAACACTACTAATTTTATATACTTATAAATAATCGTAAGTTGAGATCATTCTAACATCGACTGATGTAGTGTTGTCGCTGCGAGTGCTTGTCTTTTCTCCAAATTTTAATCACACAATTTGTTGCAAATAAGTTTCTCGGCTGGAGTCTTTTATTGTTTTTGTCAAAGATTGAAGAGGCAAATAGCTTATGACTTTTTTAACTGTTGAAGTTCAAATTGTTGGGCGATAAAGTTGCTCATTTGGTTTTAATTCAAACTGATGGGAGATTTACTTGCAAAATTTATTTTTAAACTCGCGTGAATTTCTAAAAATACTTTTCGTTTCAGAAAAAATTCATAGGACGCGAGGTGCTCATGCACCTCACAATTGTTCGAGGTTCCATTGTTTCTAAAATACAATAATTCTACTAGGGGCGTAAGTTCGTGTATGGCATTGACTGCTATATTCATCATGTCATCGCCACACTCCACGTTATCATTGCCAAAAGTCCCAAGCTTTACTATTCAATGCATGCCTTATTAAATAATTTGAAGCCTTTGAATCCAGTCATTTTCTATATTTTGGCGAGATAAATGGAAATTGGGATAAATGGCTATCAAAAATGGACAATTTTCGATACCTGAATTTCATTTAAACTAATCTTCCACATAATCGCATTAGTTATTTATGTATCATCCTCTATCTTTAGTTCATTAAAAGGATGCGTTAATTTACACTCACTTTTTCATTAAAAGTTTAATGTAAATAAAAATTATTCTAACAACTCAGTACTGGTACTACAAACATATGTTCGCATCCCATCACATTCTATAGGAATAACAGCGTGCGATAAAGTGAGTAACATCTCATATCGTTACATTTTGCAATCGTTGCAGACAATCCCTATATTCACTTGAATTTAATAATTCCAGAAGTATTTATTTATTGTACAAAATACTTTTTAATTGAATTTAATATTCGTTTAAATATTATTCATAAATTTCAGCAATATCGTTCAGTAATGAAAACAAATATCGGTCCTACTTTGTTTTCTTGATTGTCAGCCATCAATTTCCCTGTGTGCTTAAGTGTCTGTTTTTTCGTGTGTATTAACAAGAAATTTTTTTTACTTCAGCTAATATACCTGTTATTAAAAATAAATTACTTTTGTCGCTGTCAACACTTGCAATATATAATCTCTTTAAATCCAGCGATTTGTGGCAATCTCTTTAAATCCAGCGATTTGTGGCAATCTCTTTAAATCCAGCGATTTGTGGCAATCTCTGATATTTACCAACTCTGATGAGGATATGAAAAACTCTGTGATTGTGATTTTAACTATTGCTGCGAGAGTATTATAGCGATAAATCAACAATACTCGGACGTTTTACTGAGTTTTGATGGAATACTAATAGTAAAATTACCAAATTCTGAAATGTAAGTATAGAATTTAAAGCGGAATATTTCAGAACTGTAAATTCAACATCGGAAAAATATATGATGCGTGATTTTCTAAAGAGTAATCTAATTTTTGCAAGTTTCATGTGGCATCTAAGCAATGAATTTCATTGGCGGCAGAACCCGTGCCTAGCAGCGGCAATGAAAGCAGCCCCGGATTTTCCGACGAAGAAGAAGACGGTAAAAGGAAAGGCGGGAATAAAGACTTGAGGCAGTCAGACCCCGACTTGGTCTTGACTTGCTACGTCCTCATGCTGGACATCGCCTACAAGCAGGTAACTCAAATAAATTTCATCGTGGAAATAGATTTTGACCATGAAATTCCTGAGATGTAAAAGGAATTTTACATCTATTTATTTTTCGATGGAGGCACAAATGTTTAACTCAATGCTTCTTCCGAGTGGAATTTTACTCCTGCTCTGTCATGAAAAATTAAACACATTATAAAACAGGCATTTTTAATTTGAATTTCGTCTGAATTTGTTTCTCCTGACAAAATATTTTGCCTGTCAGGTTGTTTCCAGATACTAAATTTTAATGCAACAATGCTATTAGCACGCGAACAGGCCGTAAATGGAATTTTTATCTCAAAAAATTTCACGCATGCACTTATTATACTATATATAAACCGACATTTGCATCAATTTCTCACATATAAGATGGAGGTGCAGAACGTGACGAAGCATCAACCCATCACGAGCGGCATCAGCACGACGATGTGGCAGCTGTTGAATAAGATGTTACGCACCCCTTACCTCATCAGTCATGAGTGTCGACATGAGTGCTCATTATGCTTCCTCATCAACACATTTTTCCAGCTATGCACCGAGATTGTCACGTATCTCTGCCCCAAACTGCCCGTTGTTAACTCCAGGGTAAATCTTCTGCAAATATTATACTGATTAAAATACTCAGTCCGCCTGATTATTGTTCTTTTAGAGTTATTTTAAGAGTTATAATAAATATAATTGTGTAACAACTTTATAACATATCTTCGTTATAATTGCATTTTTTCTAAACATTGATAAACTTTGTAATTTGCAATTCAAGCCCTGGATGGGCAGCTTTTGATTCAAGATTCAGTCATGAACGTTTACCTCTTTAGTGTAAAATCAATGTCTGGCAGTTTTTTTCCCGCGTCAAAATAATGAACATTCTAAGTTGTCATTCTCATACTCAAATGATGTATTTTAAGACTCATTCGCTTCCCGCCAGGTTGCCGACATTCTTAAGAGCGTCGACGCAGGAGCCGACAAAAGCAAAACCGACGCTGCGCAGGCGAACGTCGCCGACGCCCCGAAAACTTGCGTCGCCAAAGCCGCGTCGCCGACACCCGCTGCCGCCGTCTCTTCTTCAGCGACCAACGGCGCAGCGAACGGCGCTTCGCCGACCGCTCTGCCTCAGGTCTGTATTTATTTTACAGGGATGATACAGCAACAAATGATTGCCATAGAGGAGAAAAAGTGGTATGAAAGCTTATTAGGAACTACAAATTAAAATTATTATATTAATCAATATTTGTCTGATTGATGCTCAACGGTACAACTCGAGCACCTAATAAAAACAATGAAAAATTAACTCAATCAAACGTTCAAGTGAGCAATTGAAGCTGCAAATCATTCCACAACAACATTTAGGCCGTGTCTGCTTTATTAACTAAATTCTGTTGAAGTTTGAATTGAAGTTTGAGTTGTAGTTTGGTGTTCCGAAGATCTCATGCGGAGGGAGACCTGGCGAAGAATCATAAATCTGATAGCGAATTTTGCGGAGAATTTGGCTTCGGGATTTTTAAAATTATTTTATTGCAACATGGGAATTGGCTGAAAGTTTTTTAATATCCATTGTGTTTAAAATAAATGTGACATTAAGAGGGTAAATTATTCAAACATATTTGCGCTCTGCTGCCGTAACGACTGAGTAATTAACTCGTGGCAAAGTTGAGCAATAATACTATCATAATATGTATTAGAATTATTCTTAAAATACGCGTTACTTTTCCCTGAAATTTTCAAAGTGTCGTGTGGAAATTTCGTGTTGGTTTTATTAACTCGCCACAACCGACCAACTGGCAGGTGGTGACAGCCACGGTAGCCACAGTGAGCGCCATGGACGTTGTGGCGCACATGCCACAGGAGCAAGTTATGGCGGCAGTTGCCACAGCCACAACTTGTACTGAGGAAGAGGCTGGTAAGTCACGACTCTTTGTAACATTAATATTGCAGCTAAAACTTAATGGAAGTGATTATAATTACGAGGAAGTCACAACCATCCGCCATCACAGGGAGAAAATTTGGGGCTTTGTCTGTTTTAGGATGTGTTTCAGCTTGTCCAATTATTAAATTAAATTATCATTTCAGCTTGTCCAATATTTACAATGTAGGAGCCTCAACTGAAGTACTTGCAATGCATAGTCTCGATATTAGTGAATTTGTCCAAGAGAACCGCTAAGATTATTATTTAAAAACGTAATCATTAAAATTTTTCAAAAAATGAGCAAACCGAGTGATAAACTAATTATCATTACTTTTCAAGTGGAAATGGAATTAGTTTGTTGCGCGTACGTTCTTGTGTGCTTTCTACGCTTTGGGCGTTTTTCTACAATATATTTATTTATTTTATAAAAGTAAAGATTGTTTTCCACAAACTATGCAGTGATGACATCGGCTGGAGGAGTGAAATATGAGGGAATGATTTCATCCGGCGCTGAAAACTGGGCAAGGATATCGCGGAGATTCTGGAAAGTTGGTTGGGTTTTCCGTAGATTTATTCTCAAAAGCTCCAATTTGGAGACACTTGGACGTATTTGAGACACCTAGACGGTCGTAGGTGCCTCGGTTATGGCACGATCGCTCACTGTTTGGAACAATTAAATATTTGCAAGCAGGAGTCAATTTTCTCTCAGCGAACATTTTAAAATTATTCAAAATTTTGGACCTATCCTTAAACCGTCTTTGGCAACTTAGATTCAACATAGAAGCAGCTGTTACCCTCCAAAAAAGTGCAGAATGCGACATGCAAAGTTACTTTATTTTCACATGGTGGTCCGACAAATATACTATTTCCATAATTAATGAAATAATTGAACAACATTATCACCAAATCTGTGATCATCTGCGTGTGTATAGTGTGTATGTATTACATGCGCATACCGGGCATGTGTACATGTGATCTTGTACACCATCGTCTTATTCTTATCACTATGGTCTTCATATCCATGTCTGCTTTTTCTTATCTCTGTAATTTTTTAAGCATATTGTTATCCTCTTCTTCTAATCGATGTGATCTTTTTCTTCTTACTGTCGTACGGTTCTTATAGTTGTGATCTTCTTGTTATCGCTGTCATTTTCTACTTATCTTATCACTGTGATCTTTTTCATATGACTGTCGACTTGTTCTTATTGCTGTAATCTAATTTATATCGTTGTTGTTTTCTCCTAATCACTCATCTTATCTTGTTGCTCTTCTTCTTATCTTGTTCTTATGGCGGTCGTCATGTTCATATCACTGTAATCTTGTTCTTATGACTGACGACTTGTTCTTATGACTTTAATCTTGTACTTATTGCTGTGACTTCATTTTTATCACTATCTTCTTATTCTTCTTGGCTGCCCTGCCTTCTCGCCACAAGCAGAACGGTCGCAGGGTAAGATTAACGAGTGTCAAGTTCAGTTAATTTTTATTTATAGTTAAAGTCCAAGTTATCCTTTATTAGCTAATTCATCATTTATGCTGTAGTAATTTTCAATCGAACGATTTATTCCTAAAATTTTTGTTATCGCTTGACTAGTTTAATTATCCTTGAAGCTACGTTCCTGAACAAAATTCGGGTAACGTCAAGGCTTCTGGCCAGGGATCGCTACACTCGGCTTAAGCCCGAAAGTAATCCTGGGGTTTGCTAGTCTAATTTTCGATCCCTCCGATCGAACATAATAATTTGCTTTCATACATTATGGTCGCATGAGAGTATGAGAAGGGTAGGCCGAGCCCAGTGAGCCATACTGAACTTGCAACTGGCTGCCCTTCACATGCTGGGTCGAAGCCAACATACAGCGGCTGATTGGCGTGCTCCCCGAGTCTTAGGCAGCACATATTGCAGAGTCGGGCCAGCATCTATTTTTTTAGACTTGTATTATACTCTTTAAGTTAATTTCCCTCGAGGACATGGCTTTCCCTCGACACCAATGACATTTGACATCAGTTCATTCAAGATCGTGATAATGATTGATTTCCTCACTAACTCCATTGGTTAAATAATTAGGCGGTTCAAGCGCGAATAACTTATTTATTATTTCAATGTCAAAATGTTCAGAGTCACGCTTCGAAAGATGACAGATTTTTGTTTCCGTGTGCTTATTTAAATTTTATTCGCAATGCATGAGAAAGTTATAATGTTAATTAAATACGATGAACAGTGCTTGCATGATGTATATAAAAACTCTAAATTCCAATGAAAAGTAATTACTTAACTAATTAAGGATCAATAATATAAGAGAAGACAGGAGTTGAGGCTACATGAGCCACCGCTGTGATGACCGCGTAGTGACAGCCGGCTTTGTCGCGTAAATTGTTGTTAGCAATTTAATACTTTAAAAAATATACAAACTGACCTGACATTTTATTTCATCTTCTGTTCATGAGAAATAATAATGAAATTGACTTGAATAACGTGGCGACTCAGCGAATGCAACGGCCGTGGTGGCGACGGCGAGTGTGGTGGGCGAGGACGATGAGCCCGTGGTGACGACCCAGCCGCTGGAGGAGGACGAGGACGTCTGGGTTACGTCGCAGGGCAACTTCAAGTTCAAGCTCGAGGACCTGCCTGCCCAGCTGCAGGTCGTCTATGCCCTGCTGGAGGTAAGTTCAACTTGAGGACCTGCCTGCCCAGCTGCAGGTCGTCTATGCCCTGCTGGAGGTAAGTTCAACTTGAGGACCTGCCTGCCCAGCTGCAGGTCGTCTATGCCCTGCTGGGGGTAAGTTCTACTTGAGGACCTGCCTGCCCAGCTGCAGGTCGTCTATGTTCTCTGATTCATCTTTACTGAAAGCAATATTAAAAAAAACTCATGTTAACTTACGTAAAATAACTGTTCAACTAAATCGATATACGTCAACGTAATAGAAGTGTTCCGCTAATTGCTCGAAATTTTTAATTTTGATTTTTTAACTGAAGGAAGCACTCGCCTGACTTCATTATTATACTACCCTTTGAGAAGTACTCGGTACTTCAATAAATCCATTATAATTGCGAATACAAATCTTCCACAAACTTTGCACTTGATATCGCAAAAAAGTAATCGATCAAATTCATGTCCTTTAGCGTAACTGAAAGGCTGCGTTCAATTTTTTACAACACTTCTCTTTAACTTCACTTCTTGTCTGTTTGTTTGTTTGTTTGTCTGTCTGTCTGTCTGCTACGAATCTTGTAATCGAAATTTAATACACTTCTACTTATCCTGTCGATCTAAAATTTTGCACACTTGTGTAAAGTTGGAGACAATGCATGAATCAAATGTCAAAATAAATGATTTTAATAATTAAAAAAATTCAATATTAAAAAATTGAAAAAATAATTTTGTCAGCTACAAATCTTATACGTAACTGATATTTGACACACATTTACCTGTCTAATTGATCTTAAATTTTGCACACTTGTGTGAAATCAGAGGCAATGCATGAATCAATTAACAGAATAAATAATTTTGGAAAAAATTATATATTACAAATATTTCTATATATTAAAAAAATTGAAAAGTAATTTTTTCCTAATTTTCGAAAATTAGATGAGAAATTCATTGTACATCTGTTAGATTGGAGATACTGGATTCTTTGGAAGTGTTGTCTTTAAAAAGTAATTTTTAAACGTATATTATTATTTGTCGCTACAGCGGCTGTCGCGCATCAGTGATGGCGACGAGGTGTACCACATCTGCCTGTGCCTCAAGTATCTCGTGCTGCACGGCGAGGCGTTCACGCAGACTGCGCACCAGCACCGTGGCATGCTGCTCTGGTGCCAGGAGAACATCACCATACATACGTGAGTATCTCGTGCTGCACGGCGAGGCGTTCACGCAGACTGCGCACCAGCACCGAGGCATGCTGCTCTGGTGCCAGGAGAACATCACCATACATACTTGTGATCGATGCGTTCCAAGCCTTCGAATGTTTCCGCCATTTTAGCGTGCAAATATATTACATAACTTATGTCAGGTGACAATGTTAATATCATTCGTCCCTGGATATTTCCTGACTGATGTCTTCCTTGTTGAAAGATAATTTTTTTCACTGCGATATGTTCATATAAGCATTTCCTTGTATTAGCCTTTCCTGTTTATCAAGTCACGCCCTTGGTGACGTCAAATAGCGAAGCTATATGAGCTCTTCCCAGACCCGGAAACCTCAGTCTCGGGCGAGGACCTCTGTCGGTATACCCCATTGCTCTTGTCCATGTCAAACAGGACAGTAACCCTAAATTAACGTCAGAGTAGAAGATACACTCTAGACTTATCCATACTTCAACTGGACGCCGAAGACATCAGTGTTAAAATTCCAACTTCTGAACTAAGATTATCCTTACCTGTAAGCCGAACTATAATCCATAAAATATATTCTATAATCGTTTACGCTGTTCCTCTATATCCTCGGATCCCGCGACAACAGAACCAACCTTCTGGTCATGCTTAATTACGATTCAATATCGACGACAATTTTAAAACGAGTAATAATTTTATAAATCATGAAACTTCTTACCTTTATTTTGTATCCCAGAACCTTTAGTTATAGCAAATGCTGGCTGGTAGATACCTATCGCTGCTGATTGCAGCATGTGGTCCCTGATAAGCAGCGTGTGGTCCCTCGTGCCAGAGATGCATTTGACGTTACTGATTTCCTGATGATTGCAGCATGTGGTCCCGGATAAGCAGCGAGTGGTCCCACGTGTCGGAGGTGCATTTGACGTTACTGATTTCCTGATGATTGCAGCATGTGGTCCCTGATAAGCAGCGAGTGGTCCCACGTGTTGGAGGTGTATTTGACGTTACTGATTTCCTGATGATTGCAGCATGTGGTCCCTGATAGGCAGCGAGTGGTCCCACGTGGCGGAGGTATGCGTGGCGCTACTGATGCACTTCATCGCACTGCCTGATGGTCCCGACGTCTTCTGGAAGCTCTGTGAGACCAACTTCAACCACACCGACTGGAAGGTCCGATTCCNATCAAACCCCTAAGAATTGCTGTCAAAAGTAAGGTTAATCCAAGACACAGTTGCCGGTTCTTCAGAAAATCGCATGAGATCGAAGTAATTGAAAATTGTCAGCATTTCTTCATTGTCGATACATGGACGCTTTTCCTCTCAATAAAGCTGGGTAATATCTGTCTCTTATACACATCTAGATGTGTATAAGAGACAGGATTTCAGCTTATATATTGTGAACTTATAATGAAGATCATGTATTCAATTACAACACATGCTTCATAATTGCCCCTTGTTTGCAGTTTGATTGGGTGATCCTGGATCGACCGATGATAATCCAGACCTTCCATCAACTGTCCTCCTCCTTGCCGGACCGCAGGATCCTCACGTGGGAGTTCTTCTACAACCGCTTCGAGGGCCTCTACTTAGAGTCTCAAGTGACCCTTGAAAACCGGGGCGACCTTTACCAGAAGCCGCGAGGTGAGAGTGCACCAAAGTTATAATAAAATGAAATATATTATTAAAGGCAATTGATATCACCGGAAAATTTCTTCTTAGCCACTAAAAATGTGAATTAGTGAACACTAAAAAATTTTGTCTGACGAGAATTAGTGTTTTAAAAGCTATTAGGTTACATGTAACACAAATGCTTAGTTACTGAGCTCGTTACTGAATCTAGGAGTTGCAAAGAATCGGTCGTAGTGAAGTTGTAAGTGCTACAGCGGCTGGACAGACCTTTTGATTCGCATCACGTTGAGAAATTCGTTGGCTAGATCATAAAAGAACAACGAATGACTGGCGAGCTATTCCACCTCAGCTGAAACTGAACACTTTTTCTTCTTTAACACGTTGACTCCGAAGTGGTAAATATGCGTACCACGAAATGTATTTTCCTGGACGTAGTGGTACATAATTCAGGGTTGCCAGATAGCTTGAAAAACAGCCAAATCCGCGAACAAAAAAGGCCAAAAAGTCATTTAATTCAATATACACTAATATATTTTTGTAGGTTCCGGTGTATAAATACCATTTCCTTTGTTTATTGCAGTTTTTAAAATTTAATTAGGTAGTACCGCTATCATGAATTTCAGCCAGTCAACTCAATTGAAAAAAAAAACTAAATCACGGAATCTGTCCTAAAAAACCGTGTGGCAACCCGACTGTTTCTAAATAGTACAAGAAATGAAATGATAGAAAAAATATGAAAAATATGATGAAGCAATCGGATTCAACGTATTAATCATGATTTGTTAATAGATTTCAAAGTTGAATAGTTAGCTTCCACCTCGTGGAACGCAGACATTGGATTAACTGAAATTTTCATTTTACGCGGAAACTGAGGCCAAGTAATCATATGCAGCTAGCATTTTTGTACCAAAGTTTATAATATAATAATTATTCAATTCTTGTTATGTAATCCCGAACAAGCCAAAAGTTAATATGGCTGCTCTTGCACCAGACCTACGAAACGTGATCATCAACAGCGAGAACTTGCACCGCAAGTACAGTCGGGCGCAAGAGGCCCTAAATCTCGTTCAAAGCTCCAGCACGAAGACGCTCTGCTCTTCCCTCGGGCCTAAATGTCCTTACAAGAGAACAATGTCTGCCCCTGCAAACATGCTTAACAAACTCGACAAACCAGGTAACCTCGACCAATTACTCTTAGGCAGGATCAATTACCTTCAATCAGGACTAAGTTACCTTCAGTCGAGACTGATTACCCTCAGGACCAATTACCATCAAACAGGGTAATTGGCTCAAAAGATCATTAGAAAACAATTATGGCTTCAAATACCGTACGTTCAATTGCGTCGGTTCAAGAAGCAACCATGAATCAGAAACGTTGATAGTAAATATTTTATGATGAATATTTAAATTAAATTTCCCCAGTCGATACTTATTTATATATAATTCTCTTACAAGGTTTTAAAAAATGCCTGCCATGTTGCATATAATCTCATGATTGCCTAGTTCACGAATTTTTGCGCAATTTGTAAATTTTTCATGCCTTCTGCATAGTAAATGTTAGTAATATCGAAAATCTGGTAATGTCCTTTCTTGAAATAAATTGTGTCAACTTTTCCGTCATACGATAAATAATTTTCTACCATGATTTATCGAAATGATTTAATAAAGGGTGCGCCATAAATGACAAGCAGAGAAATTTTTCACATCACTTATGATGAATTTGTGTTAACAGATTGCAGTCATAATTTAGTTTATCCTCCTAACAATTAATTAAGTTTATTCTCATAACAAATAATTTAGTTTATCCTCAGATTCAAATTAGCGGATTGTAATAATTTATTTTCCAAAAAGGAATGAATTAGGAAAATTCGAAGTCAAATATTTTAGCACCTTGGCAAAATTGTTGATGTTCCGAATTATCGAATTGTCTTAGTAATACTAATCTTTATGATGTGGCAGCATCACAGAGACCAGAAGGCTGTACTTTTTCAGGTGTTGATATTCAATAATGAATTTTCTCTCATAAAATTATTTTAATTGAGTTTTTTAATTAAAAAAATTTGATTAAGGTAATTTTTTCGCAGGTTGAATTTTCAGTGCAGGCAAATGCGCTCTGCAGTCCTTAGTTAGCATAGATAATTTTTTTTTGTTTGTTTTCTTTGATCGAATTTCATCATTTCTAAAGCTCATTTTTAACAAGATAAATTAATCTTCTTATAAATTACAGATAATAAGTTAGGGATAAATAAAATTATGGTGATTATTTTCACTCTAAACTCTCCCGCTTTTTGTTTTTCAGGGTAAAAGATAAAATTCTTTCTCAGTTCATATCTGAAACTTTTTCTATCATCCAACAGTATTTATTTACATTGTTTACAGTGTTTAGTTACATTGTTATATATCACAAATATGTTTCGTTCTTCAACTCCAATACCAAATATTGCCTTATTCTAAAATTAATGACCTTTCTTCACATTGACCGAGATAAATTTAAATAACTTCATCTTCCTCTTCTGCTTCATTCCATTATATTTTTAATTAAGCTCTGTTGATGCCTTACTTTTGAGTAATGCTTCTTCACGGGAAGATTGACACGATGCGGTCGGTTAACATTTTGCTCGTTTCTTCAATCAGAGCAATTGCTCAGATGCAGTTTCCCACGCATTCTTCTCATTGACTATGGTAATTTGAAGTATAATTTCTACGCCGTTTAAATCCCCCAAAAAATTAGAGCTTAATTTTGCACTCGGATCGCCGTTATTTCGGGGACGACTGTACATCGCACTGCCTTCTTTGACATTCTTCCGTGGCACATAGACTAGATACGTAATTATATATACAGGCGCACTGATTTGGTATTAACCTATTTTTGAGATCTTATCCTTGAGTAGTTTTTGAAATATTCATCTAATTTGAACTGATTCAAAGTTGAGTAAAAGTCTTGTGAACTGCTAACTATAATTGAGTAATATGGTAAATAAAGCACTACACCATAATTTGCATTTTCCCTTTTATTGAAGAAGTCACGTAATTCCTTTTTTAGAAGTTACACAGCAAACAACTGCACTTAAATTCCAGTAAACATAATGAAATTTAGCTTAAGAGTAGCGCCCAAAAAGTTGACCTCAGTGCTTATAAGACTTTAAGTGTAATTTCCTTGTGCGCTTATAGCTGATGTAGCCAAGCCAGTGATTGCCCCAGCGTCGACACCGAAAGAGAGAGAACGTTCGTATTGTCGTCAGTACTCCGTACCTTTGCTTAAACATCGAAGTTCAAAAATTGTACTGGGTTAGTTGGATCAGCACATTTCGGCACTTTTCATAAATATTCACCTATCATAATATTTATTAGAATTATTCTGAAAATAGCTTATTAATTATTAATTAATAATATTAATGGCCGTATGCTTATTATTTTCCTTCAAGTCTTCAAGGTGTCGTGTGGAAATTTCGTGTTGGTTTTATTAACTGGACACAACCGACCAACTGGCAGGTGGTGACGGCCACGGTAGCCACAGTGAGCGCCATGGACGTTGTGGCGCACATGCCACAGGAGCAAGTTATGGCGGCAGTTGCCACAGCCACAATTTGTACTGAGGAAGAGGCTGGTAAGTCACGACTCTTTGTAACATTAATATTGTAGCTAAAACTTAATGGAAGTGACTGTAATTACGAGGATGTCACTACCACCTGCCATCACAGGGAGAAAATTCTGGGGCGTTGTCTGTTTGAGGATGTGTTTCAGCTGACAATGTAGGAGCCTCAACTGAAGTGCTTGCAATTCAGCGTCTCGTTAATAGTAAATTTGTCCAAGAGAACTGCTTGGAATATTATTTTAGTACATAATTGTTAAAAAATTGTCAAAAAAATGAGCAAACCGAGTGATAAACTAATTTGCATTGAAAGTGAAAAATTTAAAATGAGTGAAAGTGAAATTAGTGAAAAATTAAGTGAAAATGAAATTAGTTTGCTACGTGTACGTTCTTGTGCGCTTTCTACGGCTTTGGGCGTTTTTCTACATAATATTTATTTTTTTTTTAATTTTTTTATAGAAGTAAAGATTGTTTTCTACAAAATATGCAGTGATGACATCGGCTAGAGGAGTGGAATACGTGGGAATGATCTCATCCGGCGCTGAAAACTTGGCAAGGATATCGCGAAGATTATGTGAAAGTGGGTTGGGTTTTCGGCAGATTTATTCTCAAAAGCTCCAATTTGGAGACACTTGGACGTATTTGAGACACCTGGACGGTCGTAGGTGCCTCGGTTTTGGCACGATCGCTCACTGTTTGGAACACTTAAATATTTGCAAACACAAGTCAATTTTCTCTCAGCGAACATTCTAAAATTATTAAAAAATTTGGAACTATCCTTAAACCTTCTCCTGGCAACTTAGATTTAACATAGAAGCAGATGTAACCCTCCAAAAAAGTGCAGAATGCGACATGCAAAGTTACTTTATTTTCACATGGTGGTCCGACACTACTATTTCCATAATTAATGTAATAACTGAACAAAATTATCACCAAATCTGTGCTCATCTGCGTGTGTATAGTGTGTATGTATTACATGCGCATACCGGGCATGTGTACTTGTGATCTTGTACACTATCGTCTTGTTCTTACCACTATGGTCTTCATATCCATGTCTGCTTTTTCTTATCACTGTGATTTTTTAGGTATATTGTTATCCTTTTTTTCTTATCGACTTGATCTTCTTCTTATTACTGTCGTACTGTTTATATAGTTGTGTTCTTCTCTTTATCGCTGTCATTTTCTACTTATCTTATCACTGTGATCTTGTTCATATGACTGTCGACTTGTTCTTATTGCTGTAATCTTACTTGTATCACTGTTATCTTCTGTTATCGTCTTATTCTTCTTGGCTGCCCTGCCTTCTCACTACAAGCAGAACGGTCGCAAGGTAAGATTAACGAGTGTCAAGTTCAGTTAATTTTTATTTATAGTTAAAGCTCAAGTTATCCTTTATAAGCTAATTCATCATTTATGCTGTGGTAATTTTCAATTGGACAATTTATTCCTAAAATTTTTGTTATTCCTTGACTACTTTAATTATCCTTGAAGCTACGTTCCTGAACAAAATTCGGGTAACGTCAAGGCTTCTGGCCAGGGATCGCAACACTCGGCTTAATGTTATCCTGGGGGTTTGCTGTTGTTGTTGTTGTAATTGCCCATCCTGGTAGTGGCGACTAGGGTGGGGGGTGATAGGTCAGTTTTTCCGGACACTCGGTACCACTGGTAGTTCCACGACCATCACTGGCTCGCTGACCCGCCAGAACCATCTGATTGCATTACACAACACCCTGGACAAGCCAGGGGTACTCATTTATCAACCAGAGTTGGATGAATGGCTGAGTTGACCATGAGCTGAGCTTCCCGGTAGAACTTGTCCTCAGTGGGACTCGAACCCGGGCGCTGGGTGCGAGAGACAGAGTCTCTCACCACTGCGCCACCATAGCTCGTCGAGTGACGACCACTCCAGCTCGCCGCTGCTAGTCACTCCGATCGAAAATTAAAACTTGCTTACATACATTATGGTCGCACATGAGAGTATGAGAAGGGTAGGTCGAGCCCAGTGAGTCATACCGAACTTGCAACTGGCTGCCCTTCACACGCAGAGACGAAGCCAACATACAGCGGCTGATTGGCGGGCTCCCCGAGTCTTAGGCAGCACATATTGCAGAGTCTGGCCAGCATCTATTTTTTTAGACTTGTCATAGTCTCATTAAGTTAATTTCCTTCGAGGACATGGTTTTCCCTCGACACCAGTGACATTTGACATCAGCTCAGTCAAAATCGTGATAATGATTGATTTCATCACTAACTCCATTGGTTAAATAATTAGGCGGTTCAAGCGCGAATAACTTATTTATTATTTCAATGTCAAAATGTTCAGAGTCACGCTCCGAAAGATGACAGATTTTTGTTTCCGTGTACTTATTTAAATTTTATTTACAATGCATGAGAAAGTAAAAATATTAATTCAACACGAGGAACAGTGCTTGCATGATGTATAAATGTATATAAAAAAACTCTAAATTCCAATGAAAAGTAATTGCTTAACTAATTGAGGTTTAATAATATAAGAAAAAATAGGAGTTGAGGCTGCATGAGCGTAGTGACAGCCGGCATGACTGCGTAAATTGTTGTTAGCAACTTATTACCTTAAAAAATATACAAACTGACCTGACATTTTATTTCATCTTCTGTTCATGAGAAATAATAATAAAATTGACTTGAATGGCGTGGCGACTCAGCGAATGCAACGGCCGTGGTGGCGACGGCGAGTGTGGTGGGCGAGGACGATGAGCCCGTGGTGACGACGCAGCCGCTGGAGGAGGATGAGGACGTCTGGGTTACGTCGCAGGGCAACTTCAAGTTCAAGCTCGAGGACCTGCCTGCCCAGCTGCAGGTCTTATCGCCCCCCTACCGTCTTCTTCTTCCTTATCGCCCCCCAAAATCTTCCCACCGCCCCTAGGGGGGCGATATCGCCCACTTTGGGAACCACTGATCTAAATGCTATAGATATTGCCATCCGCACCTAAGCAGCTGTAGTCAATTGACCTATCTCACCACACGAACTTTAAACCAACACTGCTTCAGCACACAAGCTGCTACTCCACATCGTTAACGGTCAATATGTTGTTATCCAATGCTTTTTAACCCATACCATCACTTCTTACACATGCTGTTATCCTAAGTGTCCCCTTCCTACGGCAAAAATTGTAGAAGGTCAGCTCAGCAGCAACTTAGATTCAACGTCAGTTAGTTGAAATCCGTTTCACATGGCGAGTTTTCGGCTCTTCGGGAGACGAGACAAAACATTACAGGTAAATGGACAAGAGGCCACGCTTGGATTAATTATTCATCAACGTCGAAAATACTATATAAATGTACATACAGTATTGCATTTCACACTACTAATCTGCTCTGCAATGCACTCGGCGTGATCACCATGGAAAATTATTAATCTGTGTTTCTTGGCGTGGATCATATATCAGAAATGTTTAGCTGAATTAAAGTTGCTGTGGCTCTTTCTGAACTATGGTGGTGGCCATGGTTGTACTATATACTAGTTCAACCGTGGCTGGTGGCCATTGTTGTAAGAAGTCAGATCTCTGGCGTGTGTATCAAAGAACATTTTATCCCCCCTTACAATACGCATCGTGATTCACGTTTTTAGAACTATAGTCACATAACTCAGCGTTGAAATTTATGTTTTAACGATTTAGCCTTGGTGTGTTCTGGACACTCATTCTTCACATTCAGCTAGCTCGAGTGCTCAACTACTTCGTTTCTCTACTCTACTTGCTTCAGTTGCTCACTTGCTCTTGCTTGGATTGGAAATTAAAATTCACAATTCAGTCAGTTGTGCGACAGCTGGCTTAGAGGGTGTGCGTGTGTGTGTCGTTCGCCGGCGCTCACTTTCACCGAGGTCTGCGTGGAGCAACATAAACGTGCCGCTTGCTTTCGCTCTGACGAAAAATGGTGAGTGACTGAGTGTCGATGTTTATTATACCTGACTGTCGCGTGTCTCTTTCAGAATATACGTAATTTTAACAAATGTTTTATTCATGCTCAAATGTGACGATAATGTCATCATCATGTGTTCTATTATTAATCAAAGATTCTTATGATATAATTTACACCTAAATTACTGCCGACTTTAATAAATCAACTCCATGACTTGGTCAAGCCTTGACTCCCTCAAGTCCTCTTTCGTTAGCGGGTTAGGCCTGCTTTCCAGCAATTCAACGATCATTTTGAACATCTCTTGAATCATTCAAATCGCATGTCGCAATACGACGTACCTACAATATTTAGTAGTGTTTCATTACAACATTAGGTACCTGGAGAACTAACTACTGATAATTAGGACGCACCTTCTCACTCTTGAGCTCAGTTCCTTCCAACCGAAAATAGAACAAGCACGGTTACACCAGTTTATTATGGAAGCACTCGCTCATGAATTTTAACCTATAAATCCCATGACCACGATGACCATCTTTTCAAACAGCAGCAACATCAAATGTCATTCATTTGGCGTAGGTTAGGAGCTTGTTAACACGTTTTTCTTAGCTTAGCTTCGCTTTTTTTGTTTGTTTGTTTGTTTGTTTGTTTGTTGTTAACATTGACAACGAAAATTAGCCCACTTCTGATTGCTCTAGAGATCTGAAATTCGGCATGCAGGCTATTTCCGTCTAACAATTTCAGATACAGTCATAAAAACTAGCAATTAGAGACCTAAATTAGCTTAATTGAGTAAAGTATATATATATACTATTTATATAGTATGACGTGCGGGCGCTGACGTTATAGACGAGTCAGTGGTTCCCAAACTTTTTCAGGCTGGCGCCCCCTTTGGCTCCCTAGTGAATTTCTAGCGCCCCCCACAGACACATATAAAAATATACGCCTCTGTCTGGAAATTTAGTACGCTGCAATTTTGAAAAGATGAAGGTTAAACACAAATGTGTATTTCACAAATAGAACCCCATTTAGTAAACTAATATGTTTTTCAGCTGTTTTAACTGATTCAGCACTAGAAATCTAGGACGTCTCGGGCAAATTTACGGCCGGACTCGTGGCTGGTCTCACGGCCAATCTCCAAATTCAACGATCAAGTAATTCCCAAACTAGGAATGAACGCAGCTCAATGAAACTTGGAACATTCATCAGAACCTAATGGTGATGTTTAGGTCATAAAAATTCTTCAAATTTCACCTTCATTCGTGAGTTATATTGCGATACAGTCCGAAATTCGCAGTGATCAAAGAATTTCTTCCTAACTACTGAACAGATTTGAACGAAATGTTGGATATACTTTCCTAACTACCAAACGGTAATTTTGTTTTTAGATTAATTAAAAAAAATCAATTTTACCTTCGTTTGCGAGTTTTTTTTTCATTTCACCGTCATTCTTGATTTCACACTTCCTTATATTCGGCCCGTATCGCCGGGTAATTTGTCGCTCAAATTCGCGGCGATCAAGAAATTTCTTCTAAACTACCGAACAGATTTCAACGAAACTTTGTATATAAGTACCTAACCTCCCAACGGTGATGTTTAGCTCGCGATAATTTTTATACTTTGCTTTTGTTATCGAGTTATACAGATATAGGAGAAACGACCGGCTTTTCTAGCGACCGGTATAACCAAGAGCCGTTTACGTATAGCGGTGTACGTATAGCCGTATAACTCGCAAACGAAGGCAAAATTTATCAAAATCAAAAATTGTAACGAGCTAAACATCACCGTTGCTGAGGTTAGGTATTCAAATACTAAATTTCGTTCAAATCTGTTCAGTAGTTAGTAAGAAATTTCTTTATTACTGCGAATTTAAGCACGTATTGCTGTTTAAATCACGAATGAAGGTGAAATGAAAAAAAACTCGCGAACGAAGGCAAAATCGAAAAAATTTTCACGAGCTAAACATTACCGTTCGTTAGTTAGGACTCTAAATTCAAAATTTCGTTGGAATCTGTTTAGTAGTTTGGGAGAAATTCCTTGATCACTGTGAATTTCGGCCCGTATTGCCATATAACACACAAATGAAGGCAAAATTCAAAATATTTTCACGAGCTAAACATTACCGTTAGGTCCTAATGAATACGTGTACTAAGTTTCATCGAGTTAAGTTCATTGGTTTGAGAGATATTCCTTGATCATTGAATTTGGAAATTGGCCGTGAGACCGGCCGCTTAATTTTTACGGGACGTAAACAAAGGAGAGGTTAAAAAAAAGCAGATCTGGGTGATAAAACCATCGCTGGGAGTCATGCGCTGCACGTGTTGTGTACAAATAGTCAAACAAATGTTGGAACTTCGACTTCGGACTACCGCCCCCCTATCGCCCCCCTAACGCCCTCTTCTTCCATACCGCCCCCCAAAATCTTTCCACCGCCCCTAGGGGGGCGATATCGCCCACTTTGGGAACCACTGATATATATAATTAAATTATATGATAAATTTTGAAAAAAATAAGGATTCTGTTGGCGCGCAAAGCACGTTTGATGAATAACAAGCGCTACCTAAACTCTACAGCTGCGCAGAATCGAAGTGCCGGCATCCTGCAGGATTGGGGTTCACTTCACTCGACAGGCGCGTGAATTAGGTGGAGAGTGGCAGTCGGTAACGGTCTCTTGATTTGGTGTCCAAAGCAGTTTCCTCTTCAAGCTTTGTAGCACCGCATCCGGCATTGTACGATATCATCGCAGGTGCATGTAACACAGGATGTAACGTTTGGTACATAAAGTACCTACTCGTATGATGAATAGCAGCACACGAAAAAAGACGTTGCTATGGACTACAGTTGTTCTACTTCCTGTGTCATAGGGATACGGCTGGATAAGACATATATTGTGTAATTTTTTTTAAATAACATCAATAATATATAAGCAATAGTTAAAACGTACGAGTTTTTGCTACACACGTACGGCCATGCACGGCACAAGCATGGTGACGTACAACGTATAACTACCACATCACCTCCGCCATTATCTGCTTCACGGTACGGCCATTCGTATATCAATTGAAGGAGACGCGCCATGCACCTACTCGGTCTTTCAGTGTAATGGATAAGGCACATATAAGCGGGGACAGTTGTGGCAATGGTTGAACTAGTATAAGGTTGACCCATTAGAAGCCCATTTTTGCTGATGTAGTTCGTTGTTCGTCTGTGACGTCACTGATCTCAGTGACGTCACGGGCATTAACCAATCACCGAAATGCGATCAAACCAGTCAACCAATCCGTCATGGGAATGACGGGTTTGTTTACGTTTCTCGATCTACGTGACGTACGGTAACAAGAAAGCCGAACTGAAAGACGGAACTTCTCGTGAGTCAACCTTATATATTCAACCATGGTTGTGGCAATGGTTGAACTAGTATAGTTGTGGCAATCAATGCAACTTTCAAAGAATATCTGGGACTGATTATCGTTGCACTGGCCTTGTCCTTCGGCTACGTTGGTAATTCCGTGGCAAGGAACGCTTATACCCATGGCTCATACAATAGCTATATACACAAAGCCAATAATTCGGTAAATTGCGGCGATTAGTGCATGAAAATTGTACTGTCTGCTTCTACTGCTCCTGTTCACATGCAACAATAGGCAAATCAAAGTCGAGAATTATAAATCGACTGATTATTTTCTCCCGTTCATTTCAGATTCTTAGTTGACGTAAGAAACGGCACATAAAGGTTATAATTCGTTAAAGGTATGAGAACAGGTCCTTAGCTAATAGTAATTTTAGTCAGGCGACGAAGGAAACAAATTTAATCATGCTGATTTTGAAATTTATGTAACAACACTATAAGCATGTGCAGATTTGTATCGGATCCACGAGTATGGGCTGATAAAATTTCTAATGTTATTGATATGTTGTGAGGAATTTTCCTATTAGCTACTATACTAGAGCCCAGCTTACGTAAGAGTTATACTGGGAGCGAGCTGTGGTAAAATACTAATCTATCAATTAAAATAATGAAACTGTCCCAGATTTCGTCTCATATCTGCTTCTGAAGGGAATGCATTGTTTATATCAGCAATGTCTGTTCCCTCACGATTACTCACTAGTGATATTGGCCGGGGAGGCGAAGTGATCTGGTAAATCGGTATATCTTTACCACGTGTCCTGCCTCGTCTAGGTTTCTGTAAGGTCAATATTGATTGGGGTTGAGTGTCTAGCTCTAGGTAATCAGAGAAATGCCAGTTACTATGTCTATAAAAGGTACTTAAAAGTAGAGTGTCTGTAGAAGTAGTTAAAAAAATAGTTAAAAGTAGAGGGTCTGGCGTTTCTAGGATGAGCGGTTCGAACAAAATGGATTGTCATGTGAGTTGATCGATGCCATGGGCGCCATATTGGTTTCTGAACTAACTCCTAGTAGAGAAATCTAGGGGGAAGGCTATCGAGGTAACAGTGATAATTGTGAAATGCTATGAGTGATCAATGAGGGATTAACTCTCTGTGAGTGACACAACTGAGTCAAGAATCCTCAGACCCTAAATATGGCCATATGTATTGAAGGAAAGCTAGGCGGAAGGAGCGTTGTAGGTGGTGCTAACTGGGGCTCTCAGGGGTGCCGAGACGTTTGAGATATTTGACTCATGGCGGGTGCCGAGACGTTTCGGGGATTTCGTAGGTTTTGCGTTGTAGAGGAACGTAGCGAAATATAGCTCGATATTCGTTAAATGACGCTACAAATTTAGAATTTCAGTTTATAATAACCACTGAGTAGCAACTAGTTTACGATGCGATTCGAAAAGCTCGAGACTGTCAACGCATGGGTGAGCCAAGGCTAGATTCGCTATAAATTACATTTCAAGACAAGGCTACTCTTGAGTGCGCAGCCATCGACCAAAAATTTGACTCCTAAACAAGCGATCAAAAACTAATTCAAGACTCTGCAAGCTATTATTGCAATGTAATGAAATGATTAATTATAAGTTTTCCGCATTGAACGAAAATTGGTATATATTAGCTTCGATTTAAATGCATCACTAAAGCAGATGAGTGTATTGTAACTAAGCGCCACTGTCTTCTTTAGTGCCATGTATGTAATAACTGTAGTTAAATACCTCTGCAAGAAGCTATACTATTTTTCATGACCCAAACCAGCCAAAATTCACTTTAATATCAAATTCGTGTTGTTTGCAGGCTGTGTCAAGGATGAGCTCATGACGAGGTTGATAATCCCGCCCTCTGCCAGCTATGGACCTTCATCTTCGTCGCCGGATGTAGCGTCATCGTCGTCATCTGACGATCAATTTTCGTCACGTGACGATTCACTGGAAGATGAATGAGCACCTCTCATCATTGTTGCACTTTATCAGTTGTGTATTATTTATATTGATTGATAGTTGTGGCTGAAGAGGAGGGTGCACATCCTCCATCTTCGTCGACGCATTTATTTAGTATGCTGACCGTTGACGGTCGGCATTTGATAATCAATTTCTTCCACGTGGGAATTTTACTGATGTATGAATGTGCACCTTCATGAATATTTTAATATGTTTACTGTTATATATTGTCCGGTTTGTAAGCTCCTCAATGTTCGATGACATCTCTGCGTAAACTTTCATTTGTAGGTGAGGGCCTAGTTTCTTGTATCACCATCTTGCCCAGACTTGTATTATTACTTATAATTAGTCGACCTGAGTATTTGAACATTTGTTTGATAGTGCTCTATGATCGATGTTCTGAAAGGTAGATTTTTGCAATGATAATTAGATCAATGCATTGTGACAGCTGTACGTAGAGACAACACAGGCCGCGAATGTCAGGATACCTTTCATAACCATGACGTCCGCCAGGGTTCTGTTTAGCTGCTTGATTCTCGTAACAGCTTTGTCATGTCTTCTCATTCTCTACTTATTCCTGTACCTTTCCTCACGAAGTCACTCTCTCATGCCAACCTCCGCAAAAATAATATCTTCAGTCAACCGGCCTTCTCGTGCTTATCAAGTCATTAGTAACTCGGAAATCAAAACTCGATTCGACACTCTCCAGATTTTAAAATGTCACGAGCCACCCAAAACGTCAAGCGTTATTGAGAAAAATAACAAATTTTGGCAGGTAGTGAAAAATAGAGACGTTTTTCTGTACAGTGCGTTTTATGACGTTAGGTATCGCTACGAGGGAGAGAACTTCCACTTTGTGCGGATCATTGCAACAGCTCGCGGCGCTCTAAAGGAGGGATATGCGTCGAATTCTGACGACGGTCTCATGTGTCATTTTTGGTTCCCTGAGAGGAAGCTTCCAACTCTAGTCATTGCGGAGCTCAAGGAGATATGGATACAAGAATTCCATTCTCATCCACCTGCAGACACTTATCATTCTTATTTGATATCATGCCCCGTGCCCCACGAGTTCAAGATAACGAACACCATGCCGTCTCATGTCAGTGTGTCCACGACTGAATGCGACAGCCTCTCCAATTTCTTGCCTGTCCAAAAGGAAGGCCTCTCCGACGTCCGCCGAAGACTGCCCAAGCGGCAATACCTCGTATGTGTCAAGGGTCTCAATTTCATAGAGGATATTTCTTACCGTCTCATCGAATGGGTGGAGTTAATTTTAATTTTAGGTGCTACTAAGATAGATTTCTATGTGTACCATGTCCATGAAGCCACATGGAATGTTTTGAGGTATTACGAAGCAACAGGCGTAGCTCAGATTATCTCAATGACGTTGCCAGGCGACCAGCCTAACGAGCCTGACGCGAGGACGCGTTACCTAAAAGAGGACGTGTGGCAAAAACGTCGTAACGAACTAGTCACATATAACGACTGCCTCTATAGAAATATGTATCTATATAACTTTATTATCCCCTTGGATATTGATGAAGTTCCTGTTCCTGTTCAGGAAAAGAATTGGTCGGACATGTTTCATAGAATGTTTAAAAGTGATCCTTTTTTACTTAAAAAGTACTCTTCTTTTTCAGCACCCAATTCATTTTTTTTCACAAAGTGGAACCAAACGTTACCAGGTCTAAGTACGGAGTCAAACCTCAAAGAGCAACCTACAACAAAAAAGACCAACCTTTTCCTTAATATTCATAATTACAGAGAGAAATTTAACACTAAAGCTCAATATGAAGAAGAAATGACGCGGAGGAAATTCCATATGCTTAATCACAGAATGCGCAGCACCAATTTCAGCAGGCCTGGCCACAACATCAAAAGCTTTGTATCAACTAAAAACACCCTGTTGACATTCAACCATTACTCTCTGTACACGCTCCTGCCGAGCCTCCAGAAGAACTTGCAACTGAACAGCTCAATTATTCAGCTCAACCACTACCAGGAGAAATGCTCGCGGTACATTTTGAGCGAGTGCATCAGTACCTTCGACAGACATGCGGTCGCTGATGACATTATTCTTAAATATTCGGACCAGTTGAAAATTCGCGTTGAAAAAACTCATCGAAATTTGTTAAGATATATCAACAACTCTACGTGACGCTGAATCTTGATTTATAATTGCTGTACTTTTTAAAATGTCACGCCTGGATGGGGCCGATAGAAATTTATTCGTAAAGCCTTGGCTATCTGAAATTAAACTTTGAACTTGGTTATCTGAAATTAAACTTTAATATTATGTTAAGTTCATGCATCATCATTCACTTGCTTATACCATGAGTTCGGAGTATTTTTGATCGCTTCCAAAATTAGGTAATCATGATCAGAAACTGAATAGAGTATATGTTAAAAATTTGTAAACTTTTTTATCCAATCACTTAAAATGATAAGAATACAAGCAAAACTCAGTAAAGTTTGTTATTGACATTTTTCGTAGGTCGTGTCTGTCGGATTGGCTCATCTTTAACAAGAACCACATTTCCAATCGAATCAATGACGAAGTAGTTATTTCAGATTAAGGATTATTTTTTACAACACTTCTCTTTAACTTCACTTCTTGTTTGTTTGTTTGTCTGTCTGTCTGTCTGCTACAAATCTTGTAATCAAAATTTAATACACTTCTACTTACCCTATCGATCTGAAATTTTGCACACTTGTGTAAAGTTGGAGACAATGCATAAATCAAATGTTAAAATAAATGATTTTAAAGATTAAAAATTTTTTTTTCAATATTAAAAAAATTGAAAAAGTAATTTTGTCAGCTACAAATCTTATAACTGTTATTTGACACACTTTTACCCGTCTAATTGATCTGAAATTTTGCACACCTGTGTGAAGTCAGAGGCAATGCATGAATCAAATAATAGAATAAATAATTTTGAAAAAAAATTTATATATTAAAAAAAAGTTATATATTAAAAAATTGAAAAATTAAATTTTTTAATATTCGAAAATTAAATGAGAAATTCATTGTACATCTGTAAGATTGGAGACACTGGATTCTTTGGAAGTGTTGTCTTTAAAAAGTAATTTTTAAACGTATATTATTATTATTAAATTCACCATCTCCTACTGTAGCAATTTTGTTGACTTAGTTTTCCGCTAAAATGAGGCAATATGTTAAATTAAGTAATTTTATTTACTCTGGGCCGCTCGTTGAAGGCAATAAAAACAGGTTTTGTCGTGAAGCCTATTTTTCTCCCTGAATTAGGCAAACCATTGTTAATGTAAAGCTATTCGAAAGATCGGAAACAATGTCTTTGAAGGTTTAATAATAAAATTAAAACCTTCCATGATCCTTGCATGGGCATACTTACAGATCATCAAATAAGTAACAGATGGTTAAAAAATATTTGGGCTGGCAGTAATTTTAGTGGAATTATTGCGGTCTTAATTGCGCGTTTCTCACGTTAATGTGGTTTGCGAACGTTATCAAAATGTTCACAAACTGTAATTGTCCAACAATAAAAAAAAACTTCACCATCATCGTCAGATAAATGTATTCAACACTTGAGTTTATAGAAGAAATGCAGTTAAAGCGTTTTGTCCGATGAAACTATACGAGCAGATATTTTAAAAGTTAAGCCAGTTTGATATTGATGCTATATGAACCTGCGTCATCCAGCCCCTGGGAACGCGTAGCAAGCGCCATTCGCTAAGAGGACTCTTGCCTCGCGTTTATATCAACTAGGCTATCGATGGTAACAATCAGAAAACCCCTTTCCAGATTGCACTTTCTTGCCGTATTATCGAGATATGTCTAGATGCCTCTTGCCTGGCGCTAATAGTACAGTATATATACGGTGTCAACGTTAATTAGGGCGTTTAACCTGTCGCTGATTCTGAACATCGCAAAACATTCACAGCGTGTTGCAGTTCTCGAACACGCAACCCACTGCTACAACTTTAACCGCCCGGCCTTCTCGCTGATTAGACCAGCTGCTGAACTGTCGCAGGATGCTGGTTATCGAACCCATAGGTCGCTGCTCTAATCCTGGCACTCTGTGAACTGTAGCCACGGAGTCACCCTGCCCTTCGTGAAATGAGACCCTCTTCTGTCCAAATTCCTAAACCAACTGTTATTGAAAAGACACTATTACGAGTTTGGCAGCGTGTTCATCAAGAACAAAGAACGGTACAGTAAAAGCCTGTGAAAATGTCTGTGAAAACCAAAATCATGTAAAAAAATATAACTCAGTACTCACAGCAGTGAGTGACAGAGAGCGCATTTTACTTTTTACTAGTGACAGCGGCCTGTCACGTTACTTTACCAACCCATGACCTTGGCGGTTTGCTGGATGTTGTCATCACGCGTACCGACATTCAGTTTCTGCCCGTTGACATCATCGAAATCGCAATATCTGACCACCGACTACTCCAGTGGACAGTGCCATGTGTTCGCCCGGCGTTGACGTACAGAGAAGTCACCTGTCGCCCGTGGCGCGATCTCGACGGCGATGTTTTGAGCGGGAGACTTCAGTCGTCTCGACTTGGTCGGCCGGGCTCATGGTCGGAGCTGTCGGTGGATGATCTAGCAAAACTCTACGACATCGAATTGACATCTTTACTCGACGACCTCATTCCTGCACGAACTGTTCGTGTCCCCCAGCGAGCCTCCGACCCGTGGTTTGACGACGAATGTCGCGCCTCGAAGCGTGGTGTTCGGCTGCTCCAGCGGGCTGTCCATCGCGCGAGCAGACGTAACGATCCTGCTGCTGCGGCTGAAGCGGCGTCCAACTGGCGGGATGCGCGACGCGCCCATGTCAACCTTCTGAGATCCAAGAGGGAGTCATTCTGGCGTCTAAGAGTTGACGCACAGCGCGGCGACCCCCGGGCGCTGTGGCGTTCGCTGGATAGGCTCATGGGGAGGGGTCGTTCGGATGCCTCGGGCGACGTGAGCGTGGAAGGATTCCATGCGTTTTTTGAAAACAAAACTTCAGCTGTGCGCGCGTCGTCGGCCGATGCTCCCGTCGACGCGTGTCGGATCTGCCTTCTAGAAGGCGACTGCGTTCCTCGTCGAAGGCTGACCTCGTCGTCCCGTCTTCACGTCTGTCCACCGTCGGCGACAGAGCGTTCCCGGTCGCTGCGGCCAGAACATTGAATGGTCTGCCAGCATCGGTGACATCTGCTTCTTCGCTGCCGTTGTTTCGTCGACGCCTAAAAACAGAACTTTTCCGTAGAGCCTTTGAATCTTAGGCCTAGCTGTCATCTAGTCCATCATGCATATTAGTGGTTTGGTATAGATGTTGTTTGTTCTAGCATAGACGTCATCAGTCTTGGCACATGTCCTCTGTTTTAGCATAGACGTCATCTGTTTTTATCCTTTCGGGTCTTTTTAAGCCGCTTGTAACGTGCCATCGAAGTTCGATGTGAACGAGACGCCACGACAATCTCTTCGTGAAATAAATAAATAAATAAATTTTCTCGTCGACGAAAACTTGAGGTCACGGACAGACGGATATGGCGAGCACAATAGTGCATTTTTTCCATAAATGAAAAAATACGCTAAAAACAGCCGATAATTTTATTGTTTATTGAAAGAGTCTTGAAAGATAACCGATTTTAAATCATTTGTTAGATAGTGAAAAACTTACCCGTGTAGTTACGGCAAATTAATCACAAAGAATCTAAATTTAACGTTTCCAGATGTATCAGCTACATGACGTCACATTTAGTAATCTGCGGTTGCAGACGAAGAAAGATATTTTACCTCTAGACTCGAGTGCCTAATCACGGCCCTCCAGCACGATATGAAAGCACCAATATGAGTTAAATTATCAGCGAACGGATTTGTTAAGATATATTCCAGTCTTAACATTCAATGTAACGACTGCACAGTCTCTACAATTGCGGCATTGTTGCCAGCACGTTAATCGTTCGCTAACTTTTAAACGTTGAAAATAATTCGCAAGCAGGAAGGATGGCAAAGACAAATAAGACAAATTTGTACACTCGACAACAGCCATTAAAATTCTCTCTTGACATGACTTAAATCAAGTTAAATGATAGAACCTCAACGATCACAGAATCCTCCAACTCAGGAATTCGAATTGAGTGCGTGCTGACCTCCGGTCAAGACCTTTAAATCAGTCAGACACGCTGCATAAAAGCTCTTTTACTAGCGTCAAAAAATTAAAAGTTCATACACGTATGTTAACAAAAAGTTCAATTAAAACGTATTCACAGCAATCCTAAAAACGTGAAACATTTCCTTATGCAAAATCCAAAAATAAAACACAGAAAAAAATATAATTCAGTACTCACTGCAGTGAGTGACAGAGAGAGCATTTTCTCAAAATCGACGAAAACGTAAAGTCAGAGACAGACGGACGGACATGACGAGCACAATAGCGCCTTTTAGCGCATTTACTCATTTATGGAAAAAATGCACTATTGTGCTCGCCATGTCCGTCTGTCTGTCTGTCTGTCCGTGACCTCAAGTTTTCGTCGACGAGTAAATGCGCTCTCTGTCACTCACTGCAGTGAGTACTGAGTTACATTTTTTCCATATATGAGAAAATGCGCTAACAACGCACTAAAACATTAGGTACGGTCACCTTTGCCTTCCCACCCTCCCCTCTCTCAGCCCTCCACTCCTCAAGACCCCACTCTTATCATCCTCCTCTCCCTTATCTTCCACACATTTTCCAAATATCTCTTCACAATCTCAAACATAGCCACAGTTGCTCCCTCAGACAGATCCACATTCATTGCCATCCCCTCTTCGCTTGTTCCCTCACACCCCACTTCGTTAGTAACACCTCCCTCATTCACAATCACCTCTATATATAGACTGACGCTCTCTCCCATACGCCACACATTCCAACAAGTGCTCCGCCGTTTCCTTCTCATCCCCATCACACACAAAACATTTATCTTCTCTCCTCACATTCCACCTGTACGTACGTCCATTCACTCTAGCGCCCCTGCCCTTACACAAAACAGAAGGTCCCGCCTCTACTACCATCATACATACATTCATATTTTGGCATCGCTTTCATCTGATACAGTCTCCCCTCCATTCCTTGTTTCAACACCTTCGTACCATAGCTTTTCGCTCGCTTGTTTATTTCTCCTTTCCACTCTTTTTCATCCCACCCTATTCCAATCGCGCCACGTACTGTCACCACCCATTCGTCCTTTGGCCCATGGGCCCTTGGCGCCTCGCGAGGTTCCAATCAGTAAACAGGTAAAATTAAGATACAACGTTCGTGAACTAAGTTCGCAAATCCTATTATTTAAGGTAGTGACGAAAAATAACGATGCGGGCGCTCCTTCTGGAGCCCCGCAATCGGAATGAGTATGTCAGCAGCACGTGTTATTATTTACATAAACCTGAATCTGGTAATCTAAGAAAATGTTTTTTTGATGAAAATTGACCTTCTGACAAACGGTCCTAAAAATATCTGCCGGCAAGAAAATTTTCTTATAGCTATGACGGGTGAGCCCGGTGAAATCAATGTTGTCTATAAATTGGTTTGAAATTTTGCTCTAAAGTTTGTGTTTGGATTAATTATAATTTCTGACTATTCTCATACGTAACGGTAGCTTCCGGGCAGTTG